TTTTAATCCTATAGAATTATACATAATTAAATAAAAGTTGTAGGCTGTAAATTTTGCAAATGTTCTCGATAAAGTTTTTGAAATACAAACATAAAATATGATGTAGATAGATATTTTTTTTAAAAATTATATTTTTAATTTAATTTACAAAATTTTTATTATATTTATTACTTTTTAGGTAAAAATAAAGTTTTAAGATGATCTAGATTGAATATTAAACAAAATTATATCGATCACGATCATCAATTTAAGAGAGGATCATAAATCCAATAAATTTTCAAATTTAGGATCGAATCCAGGATCGTGAATCTTTTGATTTCGATCCTTTAAAAACTCTGGTTTATTAATAAAATATTGTTTTATTTTACAAATTGTTATATGATGACCAACGCCATATTCACTAACGTAAAAAATATAAACTCGGATTACATTTTTAATTTAAATTTTGAAATAGTATCATAATTTTATTATTATTTAAAAATTAATTAATATAAATTTATTTTAAGGAATCATATTGAATGCTAAGTTGATTATGATAGATGTAATTTTAAATAATTTGTAATATATATATATGATCATTTTGGAAAGAAAATAGGAACAAGAGTATCTTGAAACTTAGATATAAATATCCGCGATACTTTTCTACCCTGATTATATGCTTGTATTGAGCCGGAGATCAATTAAAATCAGAAGTTCTTCAGATTCATTGGAGGTAACCCTCCCTCCCCCTTAAAACCAATACATACCCCCCAAATAAATTTCACAGCAAGTAATTAATTACAAGGTTTTAATTATAAAGACAATCCTTTATTTTAAAAGAATAACTTGTTTGTTTTTTAAAATATTGTTTATTAAATACCACCTAAAACACTATAATATTAAAACAGTTAAATTATCAATACTTTACTACAAACTAAATTAATTGTTTATGTAAAAGAATTTTTTTTTAGAATATGAAATAAATTAACCCACATTTACTATGAATACATATTAGTGTATTTCTTGGCATGAATATGAGTTTGTTGATAGAATGTCGAAATATTTTAAATTACATCAAAAAGTGTAGCAAAACATTCCCCAGAAATACGATTTATTTGAAAAATAATGGCGATGATTGTGTATTATCAAACACATAATATAGATTTGTCGATGTTTAGTGTTAAGATGGTCATATATTTGTTGATTTATTTTATTATTTTGAGATATAGTTTTAACATTTATAACTTTTTTTCTTATTCTATTTTAAATTTTAAAACTATACTTCTTTCCACTAAGTGTCTATTAAGTTTCAAGTCTTATATTAATTTTATTATTTTAGAATCGATTAACTAAAGAATAACTTTTACTTTTTGTAATTTATATTTTGATAAACAATTTAAAATAATATATTGCCAAAATATTGGATGAAAATTAATGATATATAATTAATTCAAAATTGCTTGTATTTATTATAATATTGAAATTTGATTGATGTCTAAATTAAACCGAATTCAATTCATGCTCAACAAAATAAAAGATGAAACGTATTATTCAATCACATTATTTTATTATTTATAAATATGTATATTATAATAGGTCTATCATAATAGTAATAAATTTTTACAGCAATATATATTCACCCATTTCATCTAAAAATATAATTGATACCCCCCCCCCCCCGCCTATGGCAGCCCTGTTTTGGGGATAGAATTGAATTATTATATATAATTTTTATGTGTCTATAAAATTTTTTTTTCCCGGTCATGGGTTACTTTATTTGAATATTTACTGATATGCGGATAAAGAGAGTGAAATTAATTAAGCGAAAATAATAAGCACTAAGCGAGAAGGTAAATTGTAACTAATATTGTGATATTTCCTGTGATTAGTATTTTTTTTAAAGATAGATTGCGATATATATTATAAATGGTGTTATTATTTATATTGTTCTGTTATATTTGTGGGAATCATTTACGGGATTTAAAATAATATATTATTAAAAAACCACTAACTTAAAATTTAAGGTTAACGGTTAAATTTTTTTTTAACTACTTTAGTTTAGGTTACATTTAAGCTAAAAATTCTCTCAAGACTCTATTCTCTCGGAAAATGGAATATCAGAAGCTAAATTCTATGTCAGACACTAGCATCGATTTTTATATCGATTAAAAACATTAAATAATATAATTAATTTATATAATAAAATAGCAATAACAAATTCTCAATGGGGTATAAAACTGTATTTAATATTTTTTGGATGGCCTTATGTTGTTTGGATATATATTATCCTTTATAACTAATGGATAACGATATTAATTATTGTAGTATTATAATTTATATAATATGCTAAACCTTTAGGACTTATATAATTAATATTACATAATATGTTTTGTTAATTGTATGTTTATAATATTTATTTAACAAGATAATATTGAAATTCTTTTTATATAATTTACTTTTGGATTATACATAAAAATTATGGTGGAATAAACTATTATACTTTTTCTTAAATATAATAAAATATCGTTTAATTCTGATCTTGATTTCCTACAATTATGTATTCAGTTTATATTTATAAAAAAAAATTAAAACAATAAACGCTCTTTAGTGAATAAACAAAAACAGTGTCATAATATTGATTGCAAGAAATTTTTCATGCCTGGCCAGGTGAGCCCAGCCTTTTATCCTTGATTGAATATCGCGATACAAAATAAATATATAACAAAGAAAGGTTAAAAAATAGGAAGTTGAAATCGAATAATGAGAAGTTACTAAAAAATTATTTTTTTTACCGACTTATTCAGCAAGGATTAATCGTATTTTTTTAAAAAATAACATGCCACACTTTATAAGAGGAAAGAAATAGTTCAAATGGTGATTTTTTATTTTCGGTCTCGATTAGTTTTATTTAATGTTTGATTTTTAATAACATATTTTGTTAATGTCTAAGGATTTTTTGATTGGTCTAGATTATAAAATAGACGCAAATGTTTTAGCTTGTTTGCTCCGCTTACCGTCTACATGGCAGGATATTCACTGGATGCAATCCCTCCCCCTCCAAAAAAAACCTTATATCTGCTTCCTAAAAATTATTTTCCACATTATTAATTACACCTTTTTAATAATAATTGTACTCCCTTCACAATTTAAAAAATAGGAACTTATATATATGATTACTGTTCTATTGCCAACTATCAAAATATTTTTAATGTATAAGTTATAATATGAATTCAATTAAAAACTCCCTCATTTACAATTGATGCATTATTATTATTTTATTATTTGGCACGACTGATAGAATTTTTAAACAAAAAATGATCGAGAAATAGTTTTATTTAGAAATTAATGTCTATGATTGTGTGCCATATATATATGATTGATGTTTAACAATATCATTTCTAAAAATTTAAAAAATAACCCCTCCCCCCCCTAATTAAATTTATCATACCCTAATCTACCATCCTTAAATCCCACCCCCTACCGGCCTGAATAAATTTCATGCAAACTGTTCCTACCTCTCCCGCTCATAGGCCAAACTAATTTGGCACTCTCCGTCAAATTAGATTAATTTTCTAAATTTTTATTATTATCCCTTTATTGTTTTAATTGAATTTATAAAAAAAAGACAATGTGAAAATTAAAAAAAAACTCATCACCTAAAATATTATGTGATTAATGTACAATTAAAAGAAAAATCCTGTAATTTGGATTTAGAGCATACAATATTCTGAGAATTATCAAATTTATTTATTTTTACCTTTATACTTTGAATGAAAATATTAATATCTAAATTTAAAAAAATATATTTATAAAACACGATTCCTATAATAGTTAACGTAAAATCGTTCCTAATTTTATTGATGTATTTTGTACGCGTACATTTTTTAATTTTAAATAAGATATTCTGCCGGAAAATTTGTATTCTATTTTTTTTGAGTTAAGGCAACGGATTTATTTGTAGATATAAAATCAAACAGGAATTTTAAAAGGAATACTATTTAAAAAAAAAATGAAATCTCAAAATGCATAATAAATAATAACCATGGAAAACCTCATTCTACTTTATTTAAGTCAATTATATAAATTGATTCACTGAGTTAAATTAAATGTCAACACTCTTTTAAATTCGGCATTCTATAAGTGTGTCCTTTTATGTTATGAGAACAATGCTGTATGTTAGATAAAAAAATTAACGTGATAATATGAGAAAATTATCACCAATTATTGGGTAGGCTGCAATTATTTAAGCACGCAAGCAGATTTTATCCATACTTAAAAATATTTTGAGTGTTTATTTTTCACTTTTTATTTTTCCATTTTGGCTATTTTCTCCCTATTTATTTCCCTGGAATCTTGCAACTACATTGTATAATTTACTTTTATAAAATTTATTAAAAAAAATATGAAAATATATTAAGTAAAATTAACATAAAACAGAGACCTGCAGAAATACATTAGTTCGACCCGGATTTTTTTAAAAATAAATTAGGTCTTGCTAGGTTCGGATTTTTATAAAAATAAATTTTCTATCGTCTTGTTTAAATTTTTTTAAAAATGTTTTATTTATTTAAATTTTATAGGTAAAAATGGCGATTAAAAATATTCAATTTTAATTTGGCTCGACCCGTTATATTTTAAAAAATAATAATACCGCCCGCCCGTGTACCCGGGCCGGTCCTGCAGGTCTCTGATATAATTAGTAGAATTATAAAACAAAGTTGAAAAAATAGAAAAATAAAAGGTTTCTCATATGATATTTTTTTAAAAAATAAAGTATCTTTTATATACTATCTGTATCTTGATAATTTAAAAAAAACTACACAGGGCATATATTATAGAAGATGAAAAATATTTAACGGTAAAATTTAATTATAAACTTAATAATCTTTTATTTTTGGATCTGCCAGTAAACAAAAACGTAGAAATCGGATATATTTTAAGAATATTTTTAGAAATAATGATTTAATTTTACATTTATCGAAAAAATTGCCAGTAAATAATTATCTAAATTAATTATTAAAAATGTTTGGGCCATTCCTGGAGGAACTGCAATACCAGGTTAACCCTTAAGGTGGAGATGAGCAAGCTCAGAGCACCCACCCTAGATCTCCAAAAATGGATTTAAAATTCTGGTCCCCTTTTGGGAGACATACCAGATTTTAAGCTGATAAGAACAGATACTACACTTTTGATCTTAGCCAAGAGGCCGAGAAGCGATAAATATTTAAATAATTTACTCTTTTTATATAACCTACAATTTTGCAATCATATAAGGTGTTATATAGGCGAGTAAATTTATCTCTCTGAATTTAATATATTTTAAGATTTTAAATTATATTTCATTTTATAATAAAACATACAACATATAAATGATTGAGTAAATATCTAAAGATTTAAATAATTAATAGATC